AATATTTTATTATTAGTAAATTTTAAGTTACAAAATACCATTCTATGATCAGATTTACGATCAGCAGCAATTGTTCCAAAAGATTCAACAATGTTAGTATTAGTAATAAACACAGGATAAATTAAAGTACTAGAGTTACAAGTAATTCTAGTGGCCTCATTAATAATAATCTGAGAAAAGTTGTAAGAACTGAAACAAGGTTCTAACGGATTGTGAACATTAAACAAATCTACATTAAAATCTCCAAGACAAACAGCATCATTAGCAATAGGACAAACTGCAGATAAAATATTATCAAAATCCCCCATCTTTCTCTATCGCACGGATTTCTATGACTACTTATCGCTCTCACGTAACGGCCGATGAACCACGGGGACTTTCCGACTCTGTATCTAATTTTGCAGGCGCATCAGTTTCAACGAATTGGGATAGCCTGTACTCGATCGTTGACGATGATGAGGATTTTCAGTTTTTTCTCTCGAAGTTTTTAGAGCACTGATGACTGTTTTCCGGTAAAACGATTTAAAACGAATTTTAAAAATAATTGGGTTGACAATGATGTAGTATTGTCCAGCAGAAATATGAGGGATTTATTCATACTGAAGAATACTTATCCAGATCTTTCTCTGGCATATAATAATGCAAATAAAACACATTTTATTTTAATAAATAAGAAAAAGCAGGAGTACTTTCAAAATAAAATTGACAGATCAGATAACCCTACCAAAACATCATGGGATATATTGAATACATTAACAAATCGGTGTAACGCATTTAATAATTTTAATATTTTGCATAATAATGAGGAAATTGAAAATCCTAATCCGGTGGCTTCTCAATTTAATAGTTATTTTATTGATGCGCCTTTAGGAGTCAGGAAATAAGTTCTTTCATCTAGTAATATTCCCATAGAAAATAATATCAAATATAACTGTAATTCGATATATCTAGATCCTTTTGTACCTAATGAGTTGCTTAAATTATTAAATTCCAAATTAAAGAGTAAAATGTGCGCAGGTCCCGACAATGTCCCTCTGTCCATAATTAAACACCACTTACAGCTGATTTTAGAACCCTGAACATATTTAGTTAATCTCTCATTTTCGGAGGGGAAGTTTCCATCTTGTCTTAAAACTGGACAAGTTATTCCAATCTTAAAGAAGAATGATTCTCGTTTTCTAGCCAACTACAGGCTTATTACTATTACTAGTGAGTTTTCTAAAATTTTTGAGCATGCTTTTCGGACAGATTGTTGAATTTTACCAACAAATTTAATATCTTTATAGATCATCAACATGGTTTCCGCTCTAAAAAAGGTACTTCTACTGCTATTCATAGTTTTATAGATCAGCTGATTGAGTTCACAGATGATGGTGAGTGCCCTGTTGGGATCTTCTGTGATCTCAGCAGGGCATTCAATTGTGTTGATCATAATATTTTAATCCGCATGTTATATAACTACGGTATCAGGGGCCGGCCTCTGGAGTGGGTGACAACTTTTCTTAAGAAGCGAAGTCAATATGTGAGCGTTAACCATTTGAGTAATCATATTATGCCAACATATAGCTCGGAGATAGCTGAAATAGGCATGGGCGTTCCACAGGGCTCAGTTTTGGTCTCGGTCCTTTTTTTCTATTATATATTAACAACATTGTTGAATTGACCGGTGAGGCATATTTTGCTCTTTATGCAGACGATACATCTTGTAATTTCTGATAAATGTGAGAATAACCTTAAACGCAAACACCTCGCAGAAACCACTTGGTGATCTTGAACTTTGTGTTAACAGTGATACTAAGTTTCATATTCATGATACTTGCTGTAAGTTTCTGGGTTTATATCTGGACTCGCATTTAAACTGGAAGAGACATTGTGAATTTTTAACATCTAAACTCGGATCTGTTTATTATCTTTTTTATAACATTAGAAATGTAATTGGAACTGACCATTTACTGAAACTGTATTATGCGCAAGTTGAAAGCCGACTAAGGTATGGAATTGCCTTTTGGGGTGACTCCACTCTCTCACGTGATGTTTTTGTGGCGCAAAAGAGGATATTGCGATGCATTGCCGATGTCCCTAGTACACATTCATGTCGGGAACTATTTGGTAGATATAAACTCTTAACACTTGTTGGCCTTTATGTGTTTGATATATGTTTGTTTGTATTTAATAATAAATCGTAAGTTTTTAGCTAACTGTGACGTCCATAACATAAACACTAGAATAAAGAATGATTTGCGTATCCCTTATTCTAGAGTAAATATTACTTTTATAGCTCCAAGCCGGATTGGTGCCAAAGTGCTCAACAATCTTCCGGGAAATATAAAAAATATTAAAAGTGTAAATGCTTTCAAATTCAATTTAAAATTGTATCTTGTTGAAAAGTGTTTATATAGGATGTATCTAAATAACACCGCAAAAATTCAAGGGGCGATTCTCCGATGAAAATTAATAGAGGTCTTTGGTATAAAATTTTTTGAAAAAACCCTTCCCTGAAAAGTTACGCCCCTCCTAAAATTACAAAAAAAAATTATTTTTCTTTTTTATCTTCCATGTACATCAAGCTAAAGAAACCAAACTTGGTGAACATTATCTGTCAATAAAACTACACTTTTTGAATTTTTTTCAACCCTGAACTATTTTTGTAAGGGGTTGAAATAATCAACCCCTATGACATTTTTTCTTATAATTTTTTTTTCGATAAAATTTTTTCCTTTTAAAAAATATGTCTAAAAAACCCCATTCATTTACTAACTTTTTGATCTCTTCAAGTTTCTTCGAAAAGTTAAGGATTTATGACAAAAAAAA